CCTACCCCCTTTGGGATCTCTCTTGATTTATTGACGGATTTAGTCTCACTTCCGGAGTCCCGGACTTTAGACTTTTCGGGTTTGAATCCTTTTTGGGGATCTTGTTTGACTTATATTTTTGGTTTGTGTCAGGAGCTAGATATTTCGTGGAGAATCTCAGCCGCAGGTTTGGGGGGGGCAAAAAAAAACGCCTCAGGCGGGTCGTTGCTTGCAACACCCTTCCCGGGCCTGCCAGGCGCTGCACGCCACGGATCTCAACAGCGCGGGGCGGAAGCAGAGCACCAGCAAGCTCACCGAGCCCAAGGCGGGGACCCGAAAACATCGAGAAAGCACCCGTGAGCTTCCTGGGAGATAAAATGGTGGGGGACATACCCTCGATTTTTGTTTTTTTTGTGTTTGTTGTTAGCTCTTCACTTGGGGGTCTCTTTGGGAGGGGGTATGGCCTCATTTAGTTTCCAGGAGATGTTACCCTCGATTTGTTTTGCGTGTTTGTCCGTTTAATTACACAAAACGATTCCTTGGTGTCTCTAAGCACCCAAAGCGGTGGACACACCTTTTCCGTGCAAGTACCTGAGCCTGGGAGCAATTCACAAATTGTTGGGCGCATCCGAAAGCCAAACATGGAACCTGGCAGGGGGGCCGGACTGGTTGGCGGGTTCAGGGGTTGCACGTGAGTGGTCTTCCAGGGTGTTGTTTGACCCCCAACCTGTTTGTTTTGCTTGCCAAATAAACCAAAAGGAAAGGGCCCATTAGCATGGGATCCAAATTCCCCTTGAGTTTGTGCCCTCCACCCGTGAATGATTGTTCTGGGGCAGACTACTGCGGTGCCATGGAGGTTCCCTTCATAGGTATGAACCCAACAAACGGTATCCTTTAAGATTCCGTTTTAAGACCAACCAGAAGCGTGATACGGGAAAAGACAACGCAGCGCCATGTCTCGGTTCAACCTCCAAACTTTGGCCCCAAAGTGAACCGTCCAAGCGGTGCGTTTGCTTGACTGTCCACAAACAAAGCTGAAACCTGAAAGGAAGCCTGTGGTTCAGCTTGGTTTCCAGCCACGAAGCATTTCCGATCGTTTACTACATGATTCCTTTTTGAGGAACATGGGGGTTCAACTTGGCGAGATCCGCGCCAGGAGTTCCACTTCTCCTGCCCACCCACGCCCCGTGCGGGCTCCCCAGTGCCCGGGAGCCTAGAGAGGACGGACGTGAAAGCAGAACTCCTGTGGTGGTTGGCGCCAGAACATGTAGTAATTAGTGAACATGTTGAAACCATGGTTTTGCTGGCACTAGGACTCGGAGGGATTTGTTTGAAGAAACTTCTGAAGGCAGAATGCAATTTTGGGTATGCCAACTGGCTCGAAATTGTGGAGAGGGTGACTTCTGCAATTCCACGTTTGGCTCTATGTGTCTACTTCGGAAGGCCTAGATAAATGCAACGAAGCTAGGGAGGATCTTAGGGGATTCTGTCTTGTGAAGCTTTGAAGCGTGTGTGGCAACCAACCATGATCACATGGGCGTGCTGGGGCTTATGGCCGTCTCTCGGTATGTTTCAGACCAGGTGCATTTCTTCCCGTAGTTCAGTGCAATGGGTTTTGGGTGTGTTTGTTTTGTGAGGGAAACTTTTTCGGGTGGTTTTATAGTAAAGGGAAACAAATGCGAACACCATCATGTTGGGGGTCCCCTAGTTTGAAAACACACCCTTTTGGGCCCTGCGTCTCCGCTTATTCTTTGAGCTGGTTGGACTCGCACCTTCAAGTAGCTTCTTCGGATTGGGTCCAAACTCATCCCACAAGGAGAAGGACGTCTTGGCTGCTGCATGTCGGGACTTGTGTACTGCTGCACTGGCAAGTTCATGTTCCTAGATGTCAACTTCCGAACGCTATCCAAAGTTTCCACTAACCCCAGAAATGAATACATAGGCTTAGTCAATGGAGCAGAACTTGGTCCAATCTGCATTTCCTTAAGAGTATTCCTCTTTGCTGACAGCAGATGTACTCTGTTGTCCCAGATTTTTCCAAGACGACCGCATCTCCATCCAAAAGCGGCAGCCGATCAAAGACATTTGGGTTGGACATTAAGTCAGTCGACTCAGATCACAAGCACCAACTGTTTCCCTCTTCCCATATTGATGGAAGTGGACAGGGAGGTCTGCAACAGGAAAGTAGGGTTCCCAGCAAGCGTTCATGATTGTTGGAGAGGAGTGTGGCCCTTGTTTTGTGGACAATCGTACCATATCTTAGCGGTTTGCAACTGAACTCTCTCGTCCATGGTTGATCTTAGCATATCTTAACCGCGTGCAACTGAAACGAGCCTGTCGGCGATTTCTGGGTCCAGAGCCATCACCTCAGCCTAGTGTCTCCCTCGTAGCCAAACCTTGCTTGAACAACCAGCCCCTATGGTCTTCGTTTTTCAGTAGAAGCCAGAAGGAGGCTGTGTACTTGGTGGTTGCCAGCCATCCCCTTAGGTGTTTGGGTTTCTAATTCTAGTTGGCTTGGTGG